GCATTGAAGTTGGTACCCTTTGAACCGCTCTCATGCCTCGTGAAAGGTTTCGCCGATGTTTTGGCTAAAGCTAGGCATTTGGGTTCGGAGGTCGGTGGTCTTTTGATGCGAGTAGTACTTTCCCATAAACTTTTCATACACGGCTTCCCAATTTGTGAGCAAATTTGGGAGCAATGTCATAAACCAAGTCTTGGCTCGATCCTTCAACGTGTAGGGAAAGCATCTCATCCGGAGTTGGTTTTTGGTTAGGCCTTGGAGAGGAAAGGTGTTGACGGTGGAGTAGAATTCTCGGATAAAGTTTAAGGCATCATCTTGGGCTAGGCCGTAGAATGAGGGTAGTTGGTTTAGGTGGATGGTTTTTAGGTCGTAGTTTCAGGCCGCCTCCCCGAGCACAAGGCACGAAGTGTTGTCTCCAATAATCGGTCGTGCAAAGTACCTCTTGTTTGGGGGCGGTTGTGGAAGTTGCTCTCCTTGGTTCGCCATTGATTCGGATTCCGGTTGAGGTTCGTCTATGTTAAGTTCAACGAAGAGGTCGATTGATGGAGTCTCCTCTCGGGGTTTACGCCCTCGTCTACCTCGTATAAACAAAAACAACAACTATACCCGGTGAACGTACCAATGCAAAGCAAGATCAAAACCAACAAGCAAAAACAAAAAATACCTAGAAAATCATGAGAAATAGAGAGAAATACGGAAATTAAGCAAAAATCACAAGAATCGAGAGAAACACGAGAAAAATGAACAATCAAACAACAAATTAGGCATCCTACTTCCCTTCCCCGGCAACGGCGCCATTTGTTTAGTAAAGATTTGATGGGCAAATGATAACCGAGTTACCCGACTCGGGTCGATCTCGAGGGAAGGCTATTCGGAGCTTTATCTACTAAATGATCGTCCAAATCACAAAAAGGGAAAATAAAATCCTAAACATTCTAAGCAATTGATTGGGTGGTTGGTTAACACTAAACAAGCACTTAAAAACGAGTAATAAACTAAAAGCAAGATCAAATCACGAGTAATTAGCAAACTAGATCACCGGAGTCTCATGCCATAACCATATCGGGATGATAATCAATCGACATACGGAATAAACAAGTTATGAGCATTAGATTGCTCACCCTAGTCGTCTAACCGAGATCAACAAGCAATTAACTACTCTATCTACTCGAGCAAACAATCAAGTACGAGCATTTCCACCATCATCAATCAAATCCAAATTTACCCTAATGAATATTATAAGTAAAAATGGAGCAAAAACCGAAGTAAAGAGCTTTAAAACTAAATACTCAATCTTCCATTGCGTAGACGATGAAAAACGGAGTCAAAAGCTCAAAACTTGAAAGAAACCGAAGTCGCCGGAAAATTTCTCGGAAAATAGCATAAACTCCTAATCTAGAGAGCAAAAATAAACATAAGCTAATTTCCCAAAGTGGGAAAAGTAAAAAATGAGAGATTGATCCTCAAAATGCAAAGGCTCAAAATATTTATAGTCTAGCCAAAACACACACCAAAACACGCAGATTTAAAACAACACTGTCGACCTAGACATAAAATTCGCGAGCACGCGAGCAGGGGCGCGGGCAAGTGTGCGTAGGTGCAACACTCTCGAGGTCGCGGCAAGATTCGTGAAAGCGCGGTCGTGCGGTGTACGGGCGTTCGCGGCTACAGGTGCGGGCTGCGTGCATGCGGAGCGTGCGGCAGCAGACGGGCACGGGCGACTCGGCAACACTCTCGACATCGCGGCACTTTCCACGAGCACGCGGGCGCAGACGGGCAGGACGAGCGCGACACTCTCAACCTCGCCGAGTTTTCTGCGAGCACGCAAGTGGCTGGGCTTGAGCGTTGCGAGCTCTCGACGTCGTGAGCTTAGGCGCGAGCTCGCGAGTATGTTTGGCGGCCGCGGGCGTTGCGCAGGTTGGCGTGCATGCGTGGACGTGCGGGCGTTGGGCAGCTCGACCTCGCGGCTTGCTCCGCGAGTGCGCGAGTGTCCTCGTCACTTGTGTTGCACGCCCGGGCTAAGGCTCGATATACTTGACCGAAAATTGTTCGTACGAACGGCTCGAAAATGCTCGTCTCTTGGGACTCGGTTTGACTCGTCTTTAATC